CGGTGTCCCAGAGGCTCCGTTTAAGACGGTGCATCCCCACCGCCACGCACCCCTCGGCACGGAATCGCTTAACACCTTGGGTTGGTTAACGTACCATTGCCCATGATGACCGTTGAGCTGCAGGCGTCCCAGATATACATCCGAGACACCTGTGGCTCATCGAATCATTCGATTGGCCGGGCTACCGGCTTTCCGGCGGGTCTCCTCAAAAACTAATCGAGGCGGTCCACCGCAAGACCGGCACCCCGTTGCCCCCCCTACACGGTCGCACACGGTTCAGTGCCCAAGGCCGCCCCGCAGAACGAACTCGAGGTCGTACGGGTTGGATTTTGTAGGGGAGGCATCACAGTTAACATAATAGATTTCGTATGGACTAAGGATGTTGGATGTTGAAAAGTACTTGGTAACGTTAATTAGATATCGCAGCTTCTTAACACAAGTAACAACTGACGATATGTGTTTGTAAGAAACTGTGTTTTTGATCATTTGTAATCAATGTAGGTCAGAAACCATGGTTTTCTGGTAAAGGTTCATCGGAGCTTCGGGATTATTTGGGCGCACCTTGTTTCACATCAGCAGTATGATTTCATAAAGTAGAAGGCATGTATCTGCAACTCACTCGCAGAAATAGGCCTGCGTCTCCGGGTAATTGATGATCCCGTGGAACTCTCGCGTTAATTTCGTAGAATGAAAACAAGATCAACACATATATTTAAAAATGCCATAAAATATGCTTGGTGGGCTAATAAACGAAAGTTTACCTAGGAGAAATCAACATAAATATCACTTCGAAGCTAGAAGACAACCAATTCCAAGTAGCGGAATCATAATAGCAAACTACTTATCTTCTGGAAAAATATATTCATAACATCTTTAAAACAGACGACAAATGGCAACGAAGATAATATTCGCGTCGGGGCTAGATAGAAAAGTAGGTTGATACAGCATCCTACTGGGGGCCTGAGGTTACTCCTGCTGCCAGTTCGTTGTCAGACCTGCTTTCCAGCCAACAATGCAATTGGGTTTGAAGTACATGGGCTTCAAACAGAGAGGCTTCACACCTGAGATGACGGCTGGAACGTAACAAAAGGTTGTTCCAACTTTTATTTGTCATTACTGTCACTGTCGCGGCTGAGGGCTATATCCATGCTCATATATTTTTAGCTTTCCTCTTCCCTTGTCTATTTTCTTAGGCAAGCAAGCTATTAAACGAACAGGTATTATATATTAATTTACAACAAATTGACATCTTTGAATTTTTTTCAAGCTCCACCTAAAAGGCTGGTGCTCGAAGGGCAAGGGGGCAAGCAAATCTGTGCTCCGCAGGTGCTCGACTGCGTTCACACAACGGCCTGCTGGAAAGCAGCTCAGAAAGAATGACGGTTGCAGGAACGTAACTATCGCAGGGCAAACGCGGACAGTGTCCCAGGGTCCCGCATTTTTTGCTCTCCAATAGCTATAAGCTAACTTTGTGGCCTTATTTATAAAAAATTTAGATAAATCCGAGAGTATACCAAATTACTTTTATAATTATTCAAGGTTACTAATACCGTTACGGAAAGACACTGTGGTGAATGGCAATGAACCTACTAACTAGTAGTACATACTGTATATATGATGTCCACTTATCGTAGCTATTTCCTCTCTACTTTTGATAGGAACGTGTATTTATTAACCCAAACATATGCTAAGCATTTCTCACAACTTCAGGGCTAGTCATTATTTGTATATGCAGGTATATTTTCACAAATCCCAAAATAAATCCAACTTGACTGCTTTCTCCCCGGTTGTCCCTCATTAACCCCAAGTGCATTAACCGTCTGGAATTCTCACGCGTGATTCATCCGGTTATAAATAGCTACATTCAAAACGCGCGACGCGACGTCTGAATGCTGGCGAAATGCGAAGGCCGTCTTTGTTATGGTATCCCAAGTCGTCGTAATATTTTACGAAGGATTTTTTATTCTTAAATTGCAATTTACAATTGCCAAAGGCGTTTTGGTTTGCTGACGCATTGTCACAGTCGGTCATATACGACCAATCTTAGGGGCGAAATTCCGAAATTGCTATTCATCACAGCTGGTGTTCTAGCTCTACTTTTGCAGAATAATTACACTTCTAGAAGTAGATGAAGAAGTAGTAGAGGGAAGGCCTCTTTTGGACATTTTTCCCTCGCCAAAAAGCGAATGTCATTGACAGTATGGCCTGTCAGCATTCATGTTTAAGGTTACATAGAAATCCACTGACAGTGAATGATCAGTAAATACTTATGATATTGAGATCAGTAAATATGATCGTGTAACTTTAGCCTTAGCGACCAACAAGACCCTTCATGATTCATTTTTATATTCTTCTTCGAATTAACCCAAATTCGCATCGAAGGTGCTGCTGACTTTGCCTTTTCACTATCAAACACTGTTGAAATGAATACCTACAGGAGAACCCCGATTATCCGAAATACCCAAGTGGACCCAAGTGCTTTCGGATAATCAAAATTTCGGATAAAACGGAAATAAATATTTAGACTCAAAATGCTTTTATTGGAAAAAGTAAATACGTGTGTTAAGTGGGTATATATACCTATATAAAGTTACGTAAAATATAAACATGTGGATACAAACATACATATTTACGAGTATTTAGTAACAAATGAAGTAATTTTTAACTGTACGCGTTTTGCATTGTTCCTATTTTTGGCAGCAATATCCCGTCAACGTTTGATAAGTAGCTCATCAGCTGCTGACGCATTTTCTTGTTTGACGTAAGTCAACGCCTTTTGTAGAGCTTCTAATCCCTCAGAATATGATGATATTTTGGCTCTCATTGTGACTAGCATCACTTAAAACTGTCTCATCGCCATTGTTACAAACAGTTTTATTAGTTCTGCATCATTTAATTCTTCCACCAATTCATCACCATTAATCCATTCACCAACATCTGCTTGGGTAAGATTTTCACACCCTGCTATTTTTACGACGAGCTCATGTAAAGTTTCGTCGTTATTCTCATAGTCTGCGCAAGGTTCCATTTCTTGCTTAATTATTGTCGATCAAGATTTTTGTAAAGCAGAATTTTTTACTTGGCTCCATGCTTCTGCTATCCAATATGCCACATTCTTGAGGTTAATCTCTTTTAAACAATCAACGAGATTACAACCATTATCAAGTTGATCTAAAATTTGCTCTAATAACAAACGTCCGTAATTGCGTTTTAAATTTTCTAAATCGCCTTGATCCATTGGCTGAATCAGTGACGTTACATTAGGAGGCAAACACATCGCTCGTATTTCTACACTTTTAAGTTGCTCCTCACTTGGGTGGCTCGGAGCATTGACTAATAGCAAAATACATTTTCTCGGATATCCGCATTCATTCAAATATCGTTCTGTCTTAGAACAAAATGATTGTAAAACCGGTCCTTAAATAGAGCCGCATCCATCCTGGCATTTTTTTGATTTTTATACCACACTGGAAGAACGTTGGGACGGACGTGTTTAAATGCTCTTGGTTTAGCTGATTTTCCGATTAACAACAAATGAAGTTTGTGTGTACCGGAAGCATTGCTACAAGCAAGGATAGTCACACGTCCTTTACTGCGTTTGTAACCAGGAGCTCCAGATTCTTGTTTTGAAGCTAAACTTTTCGGGCCTAAACATTTTATAGTTTAGGCCCGTTTTGTCGCAGTTGTAAATTTGTTCTGGATTTAAACCATACTGCTTCATTAATTCTTTAAAATGTTCTCCATGTTTTAATGCAGCGGACTTGTCGGCCGATAACTTTTCTCCGCAAACTTTCAATTCTCGTGTACCCTGTCATTTTTTTCATCTATGCAGCCAACCATCACTGGCTGTAAAGTTATCAGGCGCCTAATAACTGGCAATTCTTCACTCAAAGTGACTGCAATGTGCTTTAGAATTGGCCCGGAAATTGGTATTCCACGTTCTCGATTCTGTGTAAAGCACAGATATAAAGCATCATCCTCTTTTTGATATTCCCCCTTTTTCATAGTTTTCCGTGACAGCTGATGCGATGTCAGAACACTAGACCACTTTTCAATTTTCTCGCGTTGTTTTTTCCATTCTGAAATGGTACTCACGCCCACACCCAAATCACTTGCCACGTTTTTAAGCAAATCACCTCTATCTAAACGTCTGATTGCCTCAAGTTTCTGTTCTATGGTAATAACAACGCGTTTACGTTTATTCCTATGCTGCTCCAGCTTATCGATTATGAACCTGACTAAAACAAACATACACGCACACATACCAGTGAATTCGGCAAACGCGTCTGGGGAATCACCGGCAGCGAATCTAATGACGCAAACGCCGAAAGAGGAACTACCGGCGGCTATTTCGGATCATGCGCTGGTTAAAACGGAGAAATTATTGTATACGATCTGTTTCTGATAAAGCGGATTTCGGATAATCGCGATTCGGATAATCGAGGTGCTACTGTATTTCGATACTTAGACCCTGACACTCGACACAGTCGTCTAGTATCTTAGGAAGCGAAACGCTGCCTCGTCCTCTTCCCACCACGACGAGCAGGGGTCAGAATCCGATAAGAACTGCAGTGTCTATCCCCCATACCTTTCCGAGTTCCCTACATACTTCTTTGTCCATGGCAGAAGCAGCCTATCACACAGTCCAGTCCAGTGATTGATCATCTCGTTCCGTGGCACTCTACTACAATGTGTTCTGCAATGTTACCACATTATATCTAGACACCAACTTCCAATATTCATTCTGTTATGTACTCATTTCTCGACTTGGTGGATCATTGATTGCACTTTTCACAAGACAGATGATCATGTCCGTGTAAACTCATTTGCCATCACATTAATTTCATTTCCTGGAAACGAATTTCAATTCCTGATAGATCATGTCCCAATTTTGTTTTAGGGCAGAAAAGTTGGTGCATCACTTGTTGGCCAAGACAATATGAAAATGGATCAAATAGTCCTTGTATCAGCTAGATCAGGGTAAAAATAACAGTATAAGGCTGTGTGCACACTATATATTTATTACCCAATAGTGATATATAAGTAGACAATCTAATATGACTTCGCAATATAATAACTATGTATATAACAGCTATTCAACTACATAACAACACTAATAATAAAAAAATATTGTGCAATGTTTTCGAACTGCTATTATAAACTGTAACAATGAGGTTCAGTACAAATTGAAGAATTAAAACAAGATATACATATTTTTCAAGCTTACATTTTCATATAGGAAGGGAAGTCATTATATGATATACTTCTATTTATGGATACCAATGATGTCGTAATGTTATTAAGATATTCATTGTTTCGTAAATGATCATACAGTGTGTAAAGTTTGTTGAAGGCAGACAACATGACTTTGGAACTGCTTTTACGGCAGCAAAAGAGTAGATTCATGTTGTATTCAACATGACTACGTATACATGAAGATTATTTAGGATACAATAAAACGAAAAAAAAAAACATTTCGATCATTGGCCTAGAAATCATAAATATATTTTCTTGGAATACAACATAAATGATAATCTTCATCGTGTATTCCAATAAGCTTTCAAAAACTTGAAAAAACACCTAATAAATAAGCTTTGAGAATTTATTTGAGTATTATACTATGCTAGGGGCTAGGGAGGTTATCGCAACATATATACCTCTCAAATATGGTCTAAATACAATAAAGCTATATCGTTTGAATTTGGAGAAACTGCAAATCCAATACCTTTTCATGAATTACTTTCTTATCCCCCTTCAATCTGAACCAGCATTATTGTGATATGAAGTAGAATTATGTAATAAATATATTTATATAAATAATGGAGTTTTCATCAGTTCAATGTATAAAAGAAATGAGCATGCTTGAAAAAATATTTACATTACATAAAAATATGTTCTCTATAAAATATACATAGTATAAATAAAAATATGACACTATCTAGAAAAATAATAAATATATCTCAAACATGTCGGCGCTACAGAGTGTATTCTATCAGTTATTCAAGAATCATACCATGTATTAGAAACAAAAACTTGTCAGTCTCGAAAATAATATTGTAGATATATCAACTAAAAAGCAGTTTAAATGAAATATTTTCAAATATATCACTGTAATGTAACATTTTGCAAATTGTTGTAGTATCCAAGAAATCCATTTGTACTTGTCAAAAGTTGATCTTAAAATTAATATTGGCAACATAAAAATCACAGTACAAAAAATAAAATTATCACAATTAAGAGAATAACAACAAGTACTATTATAGCTGTCCATTGCCTCCTATCTGGAAAAACAGAAAGGTTCAAACTAACATCTTCATATTTCAAATACCTTGATTGTTTAGAATGCCGAAATTTGGAAATTTTGTCAATAGTCTCAGTATGAACACTTGACGATATTCCAATGGATAACGGCACCATTTAATAATATAGATGCTTTTATACGCTACCTTTGGTTTGTTTGGTCAAAATGCCATATATCTGACTGTTTTGAAATATATCACCAGACATCAACTACTCTCATTTTATGTGAATTTTTTTAACGAAAATTTCACCAGTAGCGACTAGACTGAAAGCTCAGGCATCCTCCGAGTAACAGTTATGTTTAAAACTGGGATAGATACTAATGCTATTTTAGCAGTATTAGCCAAATTTGCCTATAAATGAATCGGCGAATGTTATTGCCCATAACCGATATAGACTGACCTGATAAATTGCAAAGTGCAAGACTAAACTTCTCATTGTATTGAACAAAAAACGCAATACATGGAAATAGATCTTAATTTTTCTGCTTTTTACATGAGACACGACTTGTACCTATAATGTAAACTGGATATTTTATCTAAATATTTATGATTTCATACAGTATTAAATTTTTTCTGCTACCGAAAAGAGCAGAAGTGAGAACCGATACTCATTGGAAAAATCGATTTCATGAAACGTGAAACTGAAGTGAAAATTACGTAGTTTTAGTGCATACTTTTGACTCACTTGTCTGCCAGTGCCTACCAAAGTGAGCGTTGTACCAACATAATAATACTGGCTGAAACATCTACATTTTTTAGGCTAGTGTCGCGCTTTGCAAATTATGTTCGAAGTAACGTCTTGAAATCGTCCATCTAACTCCGCAATTATCTGCAAGCACTCGCACTTTAAAAAAATAACACTAAATATACAATTTTAATGACAGAACTGTCCAAAAATTGACTTATGTCAAGTGCACTTAGAACCTCACTACAGACTATAAGGATTACGAGACAAAAAAAAACCTTTGCTGACTCCTTCTACCTAGCATGAATCTGTTGATTGCAACCACTAGATAATACATTTAAGGTCTTCTACACATTGCTTTTTATGAACTGCAACGTCACGTAACCAACTTAGAAAAACAGTTTTCTGTACCTTCACATCTCCAATATAATTTCTAATTTAATTCAAAGTGACAGCACTGAAGGATTCTCTTTTTGATCTGCCAGTTTTTCACAGTGAATAGAGAAAAAATGGAGTCGTAAAAAAGCTTTATCATTCTTAAGAAATTCTACTATGATTTCCTATGTTCACATGTTCAAATGTTGTTTTATGAAAATGGTTTCAGGAAACGGAGTGTAATACACACGCATTTCCAAAACATGGGACAACAATCCAATGGGGTGATCCTATGGATTATTCAAAGATTATTTTGTTTTTTGACGATTTTCAAAATAATGCTTAAATAACTTTTGAACAATCTGCACAATCCAAAGAAATTTTGGACAGCATAATCAGTGTAGTTCCGACCTCTTATGATGGTGTTCATGGAAAATAGGTAACTGATTTGGTTTGCAAGAGGTGGACTAGCCCGAATGCAATATTGCTATTTTTACACCATGTGTAATTGTTGGTACAGACAGGCGTTAAATTGTAGCGCTGCACAAAGCAAGCGTTGAATGGAGATGTGCCACCGGTCTATAGCCGTGGAATAGAAATATCAAAGTTGAAATTTGCCTTTAACATCCGCCATTTTTATTTTATAGAATTTTAGAATACTCAGTCTTGCTCGCACTGTCAAGAAAAATCTAGAAAATCCACGTATGTCATGTTTAAGCTGTAGCCCATTAATAGAAAATTCATGGTTGGCATTTTCGATTCAAAACTGCCATTTTGGTTTGATAAAACTTTACTATACCCTTTTCCACTCGCGCTGTCAAGAAAAATCTAGAGGCACATCATATCAAAAACCACCAAGCCATTTAAGCTGTAACGAAAGGTTAATTTTTCTTTTATTAAACTGAAGAGGATTCCCTCTTCAATCGCTCGCAAACCACCCCTTCCTCCTCATGAATTTTAGGAGCACCAATGTGGCCCCATTGAATTTTGTTATATGGGTGTCCATGTTTACACCAAAAAAAATCCATGTTCGATATAATTGTTAACGCCTAATATATATGGAGTCCACTTTCGTTTTTTTTTTTTCATTTGAATGCACTCACTACCCAGATTGACTCTATTCCACCTGTACCACTACTAAATACCTTTATAAAACTTACCATTTGAAATTTTCAACACTTTGGCCACCTTTTTCATAGTACTATCAAGCTTTGAATCAGCATTTTCTAGCTCCGTGCCAAATTCATCTAGCATGCTGAAAAAAATCAGCAATTAGATAAGACGAACATGTCTCATTAGAAACGATATTAGTCTTCTAATGACTTTTATTGATATGAGTTGCTTGTATTTAATTGGAATTGGGATATAAAGAATCACAACTTTCTGTTACAGAGTTGCCGACGTATCGGAATAATTTATTACCTTCCTAAAATTAAAACCCGACTTTACACCTACATTAATTAACAATTTAAACAATAAAATCGATGTAAAAGATACTTATGTTGGTTAAGACATTATATACAATGAACCAATAGGGCACATCCCTAATTTTTCTTAACACAATAACATATATACGTACACACAAAAAACAAAACAAAGATAAAATGATTCGTAATTTAGATAAATATTCTAACGCATGAAAAGCCTTTCTTGTTTTATTGTCTGAGAAAAGGAAATTATAATGAACTCACACTTTTAGTTAGCTTATTATTTTACCACCACAGTTTCTAACTAAAGAGGCGAGTTCGATATAATTTCCTTTTTTCTGGTAATAAGTCAAAACAAACTTTTCATTCATTTGAATATTTATCACTGTTTGTTTTCTGTGTAAGTATATGTTGGGAGTTATTATATGTAGTTAATAAAATTTAGGTGTTTTAATAGTTCATTTTACGTAATGTCTTAACTAAAATAAATATCTTTTACATCGTTTTTATCGTTTAAATTGTTAATCAATGTATATGGAAAGTTAGTGTTTCAATTTTTTGTGGAGTCTCAAGGAAGTAAATAAATTATTCTGAAACATCGGCAACTTTGTAACAGGAAGCTGTGATTCTAAATCCAATTAAATACAAAAAATATCTTAGTAACAATATTCCCACTACATTGTCGCTAAACTTATTTCACAATCACATGAATAAGCGGTTCCAGAATAAACGCAACACAGCTTTATTCATATTCAAACTCATCATTGGTTATTATTAGAAGAATCCTTAGCTTAGTCCTTGTTTCATTAAACTTGTATTAGTTTGAATCTGTTATATCTAGTAGTCCAACATCTAAATGCCAAAGAAAACGAGGGAATAGGAACATGGAAACAGGAAGAGGAGATCTGTCTATAACTGAAAATAATTACGCACCAATGCAATGAACCAACAAATTCTCTAATTTTATTTTCAGTGGCAGTCATGGCCTTGTGTTTGTGAACTTGCTTGAATGTGTGTTGGCAACAATCAGTGCCCTTACCCTGTTTGTTCATCCAATTCTATGCCTATATGCTTAGAAACAGTTTTTAATGAGCCCAGTGAGTCACCAATAGCCTCCAAGTGTTCTTCTTGCTGCCTAGTCAGGTACTGCTGTGTACTCATTGTCTGGTTGAGGAACTGCCTTTGGGGGCTGTCCAGATCATTCTCCAGCTTTGAATATTTGGTAGTACTGTGAGCATTGGATGACCTGGAAGGACTGCTGTCCAGAAGAGGCTGCCTTGCAACACAGTCTTTTTCTCTGTTGCGACTCATGCTGATTTTTTCTTTCATCAACTGCAATGATTTAACATATAATTTCAAGAGAAGAGATAATCCATTCAAGCAAAGCATTGATTGAATATGATAGAAATGGTCATTTTCTAGATATAAATCATTCTATAATAAATTCTGATCACCTTTATTAGGACTTTTCAATATAATCCCATGTGGCAAAACATGACAACAAATAGCAACATTTAAACTACCCCCTCTCATCAAGTGACAGAGTCGTATAACATACTGCTTTGAACTTTCTGGCAATGCTATACAGTCAAAATGAACCCTTCATTATGGTTGTTAAAGATCATGAGTATGTTTTTTGTCCAACTAATAATTGATTAATTTCTAATGAATTATTGGTGAAATAGGCCCAGCATGCTACTGTATGTCAACAGATGTACGAGCCCCTTCCCACTTCAGTTGGCCCACTTCAAGATTTGTACCAAAATATGCCTTTATCTTTTTTTTTATACTCCAACTACCACGAAGGCCTAAGGCCTAAGCACCCATTGGGTACCGTGGGGCTATATGGGGATACATGGGAAAGGGGGTAACGCCACACGGACTCTGACGAGGGAACATGTGTGCATGCAACATGCACTTATTCTGGCTCCGCCTACGAGATCCGCCGGGTGGTACCTCCGCGATCGACAGTCAGAGACCGTCTACCACTTACGGACAATCACAACATCCATAGCCAAGAAAAAAATTCTCCTGGGACGGGACTCGAACCCGCACAGCGCACGGCGGCTGATCAGGAGACCGAAGAGTCTACTACTGCAGCCACCGCTGCTGCCTGCCCTTATAAACTAAATATGACGAAACTATTTACTTCTAAAACAATTTATTTTCTCAAAAACATTTTAGATACACTCTCCTCGTAAAAAATACATTTTTGAAATCACTTAGACCTATAACTAATAGAACATCTAAACAAACAAACAATGTGCGAATAAATGCGCGAGGTTAACAAAGCAACAATTGAAAGATTACCATTGGGTAACATCACCTTTATTTTTTATTACGGCTGAAATTCTTTGAGGCATAGTGTTAACCAAGTTTTGGCAAACGTTTGGTGTAAAACAATCCAATATTTCTTGAAGCTTTTGTCTCAGTTCGGTGATTGTACGAGCAGGTTGTTGTCGTAGAACCTTTTTCATCTCGTGCCACAAAGTTTCAATAGGTGACAGATCTGGACTGCTAGAAACCCATTTCAAAAGTGGTACATTATTTTCTCCCATCCATTTTATAGCCTTTTTTGAGGTATGGCACGCTGCACCATCTTGCTGAAACACAAAATCTTGGCCGGATGTTAAACATTTTTCCATCACTGGTAAAAGCGATTCTTCTAAAATTGCCAAATGTTTGGTACATTTCTATCACTAAAATGAAGTTTTCCTACTCCTTTTGATGATATACTACCCCAGACCATAATGGATGCTGGAAATTTCACTTTTCTCTTCAGACAGTTGCTTCATGCAATGCTTCATTTTTGCGAATAACTCTACTGCGACTGTCACGAACACAAACTTCGAATCGGGCCTCATCACTCCATTCTATTGCACACCATTGTTGAGGTGTCCATTGTCTATGTTCTTTAGCCCATCTAAGCCGATTTTTCTTTTGCAGTGGAGTTAATAGTGGCTTTTCTTTGGCCTATAAACAAGGTGTGCAACTTTAGGGTTTTTAGGTTTACCTCGAAATTCTCCTTCCAACGGCGTCACTCCACAGAGCACTTAATTGTAAATAATTGGCACGCCTGTTTTTCACGATTATTCTTCTTAATGCTCTTCGGTCGGCATTTGTGATATTATTTTTTTTTCACATATCGTGGCTTAATATTAACTGAACCAGTTACGTTATGTCTTCTAACAATATTTCTCACACTGTACCGCGATAAGTCTAACAAAGTTGCAATTTCTGCGTCTAATTTCCCAGAATTAAAAAATTTAATTATCAGTAACCGAATTTTCTCACTAATAACCTTTCCTCTACCCATTTTGAAAACCTTAACTACCCAAAACTATTTTAAACGTATTCTGACAGCTGTGATTAGTAAAAACAATTGCGTTATAGACTTATTTTGCAATGAAATGAACATAGGTTGATATGCTGTAATTGCAGCATGTGTTATTTTTATGCTGCAAATTTGATTAGGGAGTGATAAAGTTGGTGTTTTCTACTATATATTATCAAAATATTCATTGTTAATATTTTAAACCAATAATACCCTGCTACATTTTTATTATTTGTGTTTGATAAGAAAAAAACTAAGATTTCAATAGTTGGGCCAACTGAAGTGGGAAGGGGCTGGTACTATTCTCAGCACTAACATAAGATGTCATTCAAACAGCAATCAGAACATATTGAAGTATCATGGTAATGAGTTTAATTATATTATATGTATATTTAATTAATTATAAATGTACAGGTTCATATAACCTATATCGATAATCATAATTTACTGGTGTCACACACAAGTCAAATATAAATACCATCCTATATAATTTTGATATTGATTTCAAGAAACAATGTTCTGAATTCTAGAAATGAAATTAATGTATGAATTTATTCTATGTTTGAAATTCATTTTTACCTTCACTTCGTTCTTTGTAGAATCAATAAACCTTTTTCTAGTTGTGATTTCCTTATTATCTATCTTGAATTTAGATGGGTTTTTTTCTACAATATGTATGTATTATTAAGGAAATTACTCTGTGAAAGTCATATTTTACGTATTATGATGAATGATTTCTGTATAAAATTAAATGTGTCTGCGTAACTTAATTAGCGGGTCACTTCCTTTGATCATTGTCTAATTTGGATATGGTTCTGATGCAAATGTAGTCTCAACCTTCCTCTACACAATACTTTAAAGTGCATCCGATTCAAATAAAGGCACTAAGGCACTTAGGAGTGCCTAGATGTCCCAAAATAAATGTTGCAGAGATCTTCACGTGGATTTGAGGCAACAATTCAATGTACCTGAGCCTGAGCCCTTTTTCTCATACTCTTATATTTTTAAGAATGAATCGTGTAGCAGCATATTGTGAACGTATATAGAGGTATAATTAACTAGATTAGATCGTTTTCAAATCTACTTCTAGTAACCCTATAAGTTCCAAGTTAAAAAAATAGGGGTCATCATTGACATAGTGCGAAAATCCACTGCCTCACACCAACCCTATGACGGGTTTTCGATCGTAGCCATAGACACTGTCACTGGCACAGATGTGAAGTTAGAGCGATGTTTCTAACCTAATATCTACTTCACGTCATCAACAGTTTCCATCGGCTGTTTAACCCTTAAGTGCTAATGTGACGTCTCGGAGACCTAGGCATTTGATTAGACAAAAATAATAAAAAATTAAAATAATCATGATGTGCAGCATCTGAGTGGCAGTGTTACAAAAATTGCACGTTAGTGGTTAAGGGTTAACCGAAAGTGGGCCTAACGCATCTGCTACCTCAAGTGCTACATGAAAGGTGTAAAACTAATGAACCTTTACCAGTTGAGAATTCCGACACTCACTTAACAAGTTTCGTGGGCCCACTTAAGCAAAATGTTGAAGCCTGCACAATTAATTTCACATCTTTGCCATATTTTCCTTGGCTTACAGATTAAGCTGAAAATCACAATATGCATAGCACAAACCCTTATTTATAGAACCAAGGAACGAGAAGTGTGTCTCATTCTAAGAGCCTCATTAGGCTCAATCAGACTCCTCTCCATCATTGCCTCTCAAACCACATTATTAGCACACAGTGGCAATAAGCAAACTTGCTGCCTTGGTTGGTGACTCCCAGAGTTTCATATCTGTACATTTAACTGTTTAACACTTCTTCTGAATGGAATCAGCAGATAAGTCATTTCATGAAAATGACATACATATACATTTTTTTTTGGCATTTTAATGCTGTGAGGAGAGGATTCATTGTCTCATTGGTGTGAGAGTGAGATTCATGTCCACGTTGCACACGTGACAAGTATGGTCAAGCTAAGAGGATGGATACATTGCTCACTTGCAGACATGAATATCACAAAAATGACAGAGTGAGTGAGTCCATCACAGCATTAGAATGCCTACAAATGTTTATATTATGCTTCTCACCCAATGAGTCATCAACCAATTCCATTCCATAGGAGTGTAACACAATTAAATGCATGGATATGACACACAGAAAATAATATTGACCCTTAAGAAAATGCAAAGATGCCAACTTGACATGGTATTTGGCAACCACGGCAGTAAGCTTGCTTGTCTTCACTTTGCATTAAAAATGTAATCAGACATTCAATAATGGAGAAGAGTCTTTTCGATGCTATTGTACTCTTAAAATAAACCATATCACTTCCCACTCCTGGGCCCTATAGATAAAGGTTTGTGCTATGCAAGTTAATGATTTTCAGCTTAAGCTGAAAGCTAGGAAAAATGAAGTCATGAAATTGATGATGCAGGCTTACACATTTTGTTCAGGTAGGCAGCAATATGTCTCAAAACTTTTCAAGTGAGCAAGTGAGTGTCCTAAATCTCAACTGGCATAGATTCATCAGCCTTGCACATTTCATGTGATGCTTGAGATACCTCTTCTTTGATAAACAGCAGGTGGAAACAGTAGATGATGTGCTAGCCAGAACAGTTTACATTGTATAACATTGGATCCTTTGGCATAGCAAATGTTACTACAGAGTTTTACCACATGCGAGACTGGTTTATTAAACACCCAACACATGTTTCGCTAGGTCTGCTAGCATCTTCAGTGGAAATTTAAACCTGTTTAAGCAGTTTACATTGTCAGTGGCCAAATCCAAAAAACTGTTAAAAGGTCGAGGTGATGTAGTAGATCTTAATTACCAGTTTTCCAACTTGAAATATATATATAGGGTTACCTCTCATAATGACTTCTCAGTTAATTGTGAATCTCTATACACATTTACAATACCCTACTCTGAGGTTCATCATTTAAAATGCAAGGGTATGAGAAAAGAGGTACAATATAGGCCCAGGAACCAGATATGTTGTTCTAAACATAAGAGTGCTATAAAAAAAATAATAAAAATGCTTATTATATATTCTTAACACATTGGATTGTAGCAGGAAATTCACATAAAGATCTGTGCAATTTTAGTTTTGGGACATCTCTCACTGTAAGTGTCCTAGCACAGGCACACTTTAAATCATTGTGTTGAAGGTTGTGACTACATTTGCCTTGACACTGCAATTAAATCAGACACATAGTAGTTCTGAAATAAGTGATCGATGAAAGTGACTCACTAATTATGTTGTGCAGTTTAGTTGTATAATCAGTCCATTATCTATGCAACTGCGACTACAAATAATTCTCATATTTCTCCATGTTTACCTTGACACAATACAAATATAATATTTATTATAATATTAAATTATACTATTTATTATAGATGAGCAGCTCACTATCTAGATGCTTCACTTCATCTCTCTCAATAACTCTCAAGAAATATTTGGATCCTAATCTAGTAGAATCAATAAATCTTCACATTAGTAAGAAGTTTCAACAGAAACAATAATATCCATAATGATAACTAATACTTTTTTCAATTTCAAGAATCATAGTGTATATTCAAAGATATGGTGATACTGTTAATAAAATCAAAAGAAGACAGACAGCTTTTTTGTTTTGCTTTTAAAAGGATATCAATAGTGTCTTCCAAGTCTTCAAGATCCCATTCTATACTCCTCAATGAGTTTTTTAGTTCATTATTGGTCCATTCAATCTCTTCTTTTGTGATACATACAGAGTCCTCTTGTAGTTCAGCCCATCTGAGGTAAAGGCCTCTTGTCTTGTTCAGAGCTTTGAAAACTTCACTGCAGATTGAAGTAAGAAAACGAAGTCTTATGCAACTGTACTTGATGATTTCTACATTATACATCAAGTATTAATAACGATGTGTACCATGCTGTTGTATTTGATATAAAATAAAATATAAAATACCTAAAGCGTTCATTCGTAAATAGCAAGCATGCAAAAAACACTCATCTTGCTTACTCTTTTACAACAAAAAAGGGATCTTCCAACGTCATGTCAATTCTCACAACACAGCAAGCCTTTTAATTGCTGTTTGACATATATAATTGGCAACCATCTGTATTCCTGCACTCAATAAATACGGATAATTTTTCAATTTTCCAAATATGTTTGAAGAAAAATCACAATATAGAATTCATTAGTGACATAATGACAATTGACAAACGTGACGTTTGGAAAGTATGGTTAGCCAATGGTCAGCCGTTTTCCTTTTCAGATTTTTGTCTCATGGGCTACCGATTATGACGTATATCTTGAGGAATCAACCTGAGATTGACCAATCAGCAAGCAGATCGCTGGCCATGTGACTTCTAAAGACATTGTTCTTCTTCTCTCCATAGCGCATAGCGGCATAGCTGCTTTCCAGTGCTTTTGAATTGAGAGTTGACGATTTGTATCATTGTATCACACTGCCTACTGCCAAACTAACAATGAAAATGTAAGCAATGCCTTTATAATATAAAGTTTATATATTCAGAAGCATTGATGCCTGATTATGCTTCAAGAATGATTGCGCAACCCGTCAGCGGTCTCCACTTTTTATTGTAAAGCTTCTAGATAAGTGTGTCGCATTCATATTTTAGTGTAGACATTAAAAATTATTTTCAAAGTGTCTAGTTATAGATGAAGACAACTCTCTTGTGATCTTTATTATTCAGGAATATCTCAAATCAACGTTGTGACTCTGGGTCATAACATTATCAGTTATTCACCATCCGCTATTGTCTGGTATCGGTTTAAAGTGAGTTTTAATGTAAAAAAATAAAAACGATGAAAAAACATAACCCAACAATTTTGACACATTGGAATTTTTGTCATCACCACTATTTCGTAGCGTATAAGACTAAATAAAAAGCGGTTGCATGAGGGGACAAGGGATTTCAAAAATGAGTAACTCAGGTGCTTAACACTAGAGCACCAGAACCCCAGACTACTAAAGAATATTCTTTAGTAGTCTGTGACCAGAACGGAATTGACAGGGGGTGGGGGGTGGTTTAGTGGTTAGCTGTTAGCTCTGAGTAACACAAATGAGGCACTGGAAAGCGGTTGTGCCCATGACGAAAAATTGTGACTCATTCAAAATCCATTCTTGACTTGCAGCTTCTAGAATCTAGACTATAGAACGTCACCCAGGAACCCGTCGCCGCCACCTCGATGTACAATGGAGGCCCAAGGCAGTGCCTGAGCTGTGTTACCACGTTACCAGTTTTGTGGTTACCAGTACCGATTTTTAAGTAGAGATTTACTAAAACAACGATTTCTAGATGGCATGACAACAGACATCTTGCTTTAAATAGTGAATTTCTGTATTTCTTATATATTTCAATGAAACACAGGAATAGTTCTGCTCTTCAGTTTTTCAAAACCGAGTGGGGCTCAACATCTACAATTTTCAATCAGGGGCAAAATTTCTGCTTTTAGGTTTACTTTTTTACCTAAAATTCGCAGGATCTACCAAAAAATGTCCCACTAATCTACCAAAAGCAAATCTACTACACCTGGCAAAGCGTTGCCTAATGCGGGACCCACCCGATGCTTCCAACGTTGTATGCAACGTTGTGTACAGTATTCGACACCCCACAATTGGCAAGTATATCTCCTACAGGATGGGGTGAACTTTTTAGTCTCGAACGTTCGACGCATAGTGGCGTCAACGCCTATTATCGGTGTCGGTGTCGTGCTTGAACCTTTACAACTGAACGAAAAATTATACAAAATGATCGATAAAACAATTTTTTCGAGCCCCAAAAAACAATTTCAGATCTGTCTTCAGCGACCAAAAGTTAAGTCGGTCAGTAGCCTCAGAAATGTCGAAAAACGAAGTTTGACCGTTTTTTGTTTGTTTTTCGACGGTAAATTCCCCGCCACTTTATCGATTTTTAAAAACTGTAGAGCTTTTTCGTCATTTTCATAGTAGTAGCCTAGGGTCAACATTTCATCAAAATCCTGATAGTACTTTAAGACTTATCATTTATTGAATCGTTTTCGTTATTTATGAAATGAAAGTCAATATACTTCTCAATGCATTGCAACAGAGCATTATGATGAAACAACTGTAAACTCATGATCATTTATAATTTACTAAAATGCATATCCTCAGGCCAGCGATAACTCACCTGCGAAACGTAAAAAATATTAGCGATATGAAAATAGTGTTATGGCAGCCAATGCTTTGTATGTATACTAATTTAATTCATTCTCCTCAAAAGTTAGTTACGGAACATACATTATTATGAATAGGTAGCTACTCAAATCAAAATACTTCTCCGCAATTACAGCAAACAAGTAAATAATATTTTTCGCCGATACTGGATCTAACCTAAAACCACCAAACACATAACATCTCGTGTGAGAGCGTAATGAACCATTCTTCCAAAGTTGTAACGTCCTTTGACGCGGGTCAAATTTACCGACAAGAGCCCGAACGTCCATGTGGCAAACGTTGGACACATGCAATCTGTCAGCGCTCTCCCACACGATGTAGCAAATGGCCCTAAGTCCAACGTTGTAAGGAGCGTGTGGGAGCGCCTTAAACCGTCACAGAAATCGGCATACGTGTTTCCGGTCCGATCATTTGACGTTGATGACATTTGACAGCAATAGCAAGATGGCCTTTTCCGCTTAATGCTGCCCGTCTGTGAAGGTAGTGAATCATGTAAGTGTTTCGTTTTATTTCCCAAAATTTGAATGAATTTATGCAGAAACCGATTCTTTTTTATATTCATGGATAAGAAAATTCATCTAGTCTATTTCAGCACTCGTATTAATGAAATACTTTGAGATGAAATGCATTTTACACGCACTCGGTAACCTCAATCTAACAACAACGTGTATCCAAATGCCTGAACCTTAATAATTTTATTTTCAATTTATATTTGATTGTGACCCTATAACGCAAGTCACATCACCTGTCGCACGGGAACTTATTCCATTCGTGTAGGTTAACCAACGATTCGTATCACTTAAAATGATGATAATACTTTTTACTTCTGACACCTCTTGGCAGAACGTATACTTGTTGAATTACAGTATAACTAAAACTGATAACTTCTAAATAGCCTATTTATTTTTTAAACCCGGTATTTATATGATTAATGAGGAAAAAAATGTTTCAGTTTAAAAAATGGCGGACGATTGGGCTCTGGATGAGGTAGCCGTAGATCAAGGGGCAGTGATTGTACCCAAGATCGCTGAGCTGCCTGAAATCAAACTTTTTGCAAGATGGTCTTGCGATGACGTACAAGTGTCTGATATGTCACTTCAGGTAGGTGGTCAAAGTAAATCAATTTTATAAAAATTTATGGTTATAACAAATAACTTTTATATCACATGGCCATTATAATATTTGAGATTCTATACACTTGTTAGAAGTACATTTCAGGAAATATAATTGTAGTGTAGCATTTTTTTGCCATAATATTGAACAGAGATCAAACAATATAAGATTTTAGCAGACTAGCTGCCATATCAGACCAGATGTACTACTGGTAGGTCAGTGAAAGAATGACTATGGACTTTGTATGGATCTGTTTGACTGACTTCTTTCTCAGATGGTCTAGTTCATGTTGATTGCTTTATTAACTGGTAACAGGGCACTGCAGAGTCAACTTGCCTGATGCCGTTTTTTTATGTGTAATGTGTATGTATTAGGTATGACTCATTGCACCAAGGATAACTATGGTGAACAAACCTTAAAATAGCCATATGGAGGGATAGAAAACAAGTAACCTTACAAAACTATCATTATTATTGCCTAACATGTTCACTGCCACGTTGGTCCTATAGGACCAACACTCATGTTGCCTCAGCAGGCCACATTGGTCCAATAGGGCCAACATATATTTTGCCTTACTAGGCTATGTTTTTCCCATGGGATCAACGCATTTTCTAATAGCTGCTGGGCCGTTGGCGCTCATTTACCTATGTACACCAGCAGAAATGGCCCAACATAGCTTAGAAGCTATATGCTGCACATATAATTTCTAAGATTTTTCCATAATGAGGAATGTGGCCCAGCCTAGTCTTTTTTATATGGTGGTCCACTAGTGCTCAATGTAAAATATATGTTTGGTGTAGTGGACACATGTTAAAAAATATGTCTGGCAGCAAACCTGTTAAGATGATGGAGATTATATAAACAGGGGGTTTACATTTGGAAAAGTTGACTTGGCATTTTTTACAAGTTTCTTTTTATTCAATTAGACCCCTTTTAATAAGGAAGCAGTTACAAAGTCAAAAATTACAAAAAATTCATAGGCTTTTATGGACTCAAAGTTTGATATTTTTCAAACACAGAGTTGAGTATATGCTGTTACACATGAAATGTCTCACTTCATTCTATCAATTATAATATAACCCCAAGATTTGATAATTATCTAACATCAACTTTTTGTTACTGACCAAGAGAATGATCGTCTATTGTACAATTTTGTAATTTATGCATAAAAAAGTTCTCTGGGAAAAAATAGAAAACACATCAAATAATATATAATCTTTCTAAATACTATCACACAAACCAGTATGTATAACCAAATGCGATCATTAAATCAGGTAAAACTAAAGACAGAAACTAGCTGTTGAGTTTTTCTTTATTAAACGAAATAATCACTCAGCCTATCATATGGGTAGTTGTCCAACTCGTATAATGGAAATTGGGCTATTAATACATATTGGTATCGGATCCCTAATATTAAATAAAATAAAGAATTTTTATTGACATGATGATAAACCTTAATTTTCTGACACCTCTTCAGAAGTTTATTGTTGATACAACCAGTTGTCTGACATTTAATAAATATACCATTGTATTTTATTCCTATAAGAACACAGTATAAACCCTTTTCTATTATTCCTAGGACTACATTGCAGTAAAAGAAAAGAATGCCAAATACCTACCACATTCTGCTGGCAGATATGCGGCCAAAAGATTCCGCAAGGCACAATGTCCAATTGTAGAGCGATTAACAAACTCCCTGATGATGCATGGTCGTAACAATGGCAAAAAGCTGATGGCTGTCCGCATTGTTAAACATGCATTTGAAATCATCCATTTGCTTACTGGAGAGAACCCATTGCAGGTAAGGGAAAAGAAAGCTTAACCAAAAATGTCTCATTGTCATTCATCAACTAATTCAACTCGGCAATATATGAATGTCCTTTCTAATGCTGGTCAGCTAGGAAATATAGCTGACCAGTTTCGCTAAGGACAAAATCATTTACAGGAAATACCATGGTAAGTGCAATTTTTGTGCTTCCTATAAATAGTTTCTGTGACATCTTATATAAATAAATACAAACTATAACCATGCAAAATGAATGTAGAGCTCAAAAGATTCAATACTAATGAGATTGAAAATTCTTCATATTGTCTTCATATTAATTTAAAAAGCCATCCCTTAAGTGATTAAAAGGTATTTAATAAACACTCTTACTAAATGAACAAACTATTAAGGAAAATTTTCAAAAGCAGGACATCATTTTGTTATTGGTTTTAGAAATATTAAAATGTAGCTAAAAGTGTTGCAACTTTCACTTTATTGTTAAGCATCATTTTTTACACTTTTATAAAGTTGAAAATGATTAATAAAAAAAATTGGTAAACCCATGAGAAACACGAACCTAGAGTCTTGCCTCTCAAGAAAATATGTGATAAAAGACTTGCAAATATCTGGAAATAATGATAAAATTGCAGCATTTGGGGCATTTTCCTCTAGTGTTATAAATGCTCACTACTCTGAAATAAAAATTTTCACACATTTTCATCATTCAGTGATTGATGTAGGTATTGGTGTCTGCTATCATCAACTCTGGACCCAGAGAAGATTCTACCAGAATTGGTAGGGCTGGTACAGTCAGAAGGCAAGCTGTGGATGTCTCACCGCTGCGTCGTGTCAACCAGGCTATCTGGTTATTGTGCACAGGAGCAAGAGAAGCAGCCTTTAGAAACATCAAGACCATTGCAGAATGTCTAGCTGATGAACTCATCAATGCTGCTAAGGTATGTAACCCGTTTTTTTATTTTTTTTCTCATTTCAGTTTCAAAAAATTTTAGCAACAATAATTATTACATAACACCCTTTTGAGCTTATTCCAGAACCTAAATATCTGTCTGACTATTCTCAAATATGAAAATAATGTCCTTTCTAATGCTGTCTAACTAATATTCAAGTTTTTCAGTTTCGCGAAGGACTAAATAGTTTGCAGAATATTTACCATAAGTTGTTCTGTCTTGGAATAGCTTATAAATTCTTCTGCAACAATTTTTCTAATTATAAATCTTACAATATTTACATTTACATATATCTTCCAATACATACTATTTTCTTTTTCAGGGTTCGTCCAATTCTTATGCTATTAAGAAGAAAGATGAACTTGAACGTGTGGCTAAGTCTAATCGTTAATTTTTGTATGTGTTTTTTTCTGTGAATAAACAGAAAACTAAAAAGTTGTCTTTATATTTCAGTTCCTCATAAACCAGGGATGCTGGCGACTCTTGTTTCTTTTAGGAATCGTATGCATTTGATCTTAAAATATGCATACATATAATTATTTTTCCTTAAAAAAAAAAAAATGAATTTTTTAGCATATTCTTTTATCTGCCAGCCTTTCAGAAGCTTTCTCACACCATGCCACCTAGCCCATGAATTGTCGCTGTAATAGAGGATTTTTTGAGACAAATCATTTTTTTGGGGGTGAATATGATGTTTTATTTATATTTTTTTCATCTACCACCCCTTTAGAGATTTTCTCAGTATATCCTATTATGCTCATTAATTACTTTCAATACCATATATACAATAATCGGTAAGTGAAAATTCGAAGAAAGGGTTTGGGTTAACTCTCGTTCCTGCGAATTATTTAATTAGGGTGGAAAATGATTCTTCCTATAAGGGTGCTTATTCTCGTGCACATATATTTATTGTTGCGAGCTGTTGGCTGTATCCTTCACAGTCTGGTCGAGGATGTCGACGCCACAGGTCATTCGGGTATCTTCGGTAAATTGTCCGCTAAATTTTGTCTGCCAACTTCACACCGGTATCACTGATTTCCGTCGATCGGTCCGCCACCCTTATAACTTGATAAGTACCGCTCGCATTTCAATGAAATTTTCACACAATGTTACTACTATGCCAAGGACGCAAAAGCTTTGTAGTTTTTGCAAATCTTTCCAGTAGCGGCAAAGAAAATGGCCAAATACGAAAAAGAAATAAAGTCACTCAAACTTCGTTTGGCGTTGTGTGAGCACTGCAGAGTCAACCTACTTGGCGCCATTTTTTTACCAACCCGAGAAATCGGCACTATTGGCCACAATGCCGTATTGAGAAGTAGCATTTCTCTAAATAGGTAAATAATGTCACATGAAATTATATCCTGTTAATTTAGAACGATTGGAAAATAAGTAATTTTGAATAACTATAGAGTCGGCATAATATTTGGAAACTGCTTTTAATGCTCCGCGTCGTTCGGCAAACTGCAGACGTACGCGGAAAAGTTTCACTTTCCGCACTTGGGAAAACTATATAGTTTTTGAAAATTGGTCCAGTGGCGGTGGGGCCAAAAGTAAAAAATAGAAATTGCCTAATTTGGTTTTTTGACATTTCAAATTTACAGGATCTCGATCATTTTCGAAAAATTGGGGGGAGGAGGTGCGGTAGATTGCATTTCAATAATTCTTTGACGTTGGTATACTTTACACCTCCAACCACGGTAATTCTAAGCATCTATTGGATCATAGATGAGAGACAGCATTGGAAGTGCATAGTCAACCTACTGGACGCCATTTATTTAGCTCATTGCTGTAAAAAGACGTTTCGAAATTCGTACATAGGGAGAAGTCGAATCATCTGCATGTCCCACCGAAGTAGGAAGGAATCAGTCAACAGGATGGAATGTGACATCTTGACTTTCAATATTAAGGAATAGATATTTTCCTCACATTTGATGGAAAGCGTAACATCCATGGCAGATATAGGGTCATATTCGAATGACGGCGTGGTAAAACTTATTGAGACAAATTTTAGGAATGAATTTTGGTTATTCTAATTGCGATGATATTCTGTCAATAGTCAAGTTTTTGGAATATTAACAGGTTTGTTAACACGATACACATACACTGAAGATAGGACGTTGTGCATGTGAGCGGAGCTTCGTGACGTCACCTTGAGAGTTGTCGGCTCGTATTTACCAGCAGTGCCGGATGCTCTGCTGTTCGATTTTCACTTTGAGAGTGATTCTCATTTAGGTTGATATGGATAACGTGCATATTTTCACCTACAGGCCAAATGGCTGGACGGATTTTCACATAATTATTTTAAGAATCTTTGTTGTGAGTCTTCCACACGTCAGGAACAGTTTGTGAGTAGTTTCATTGGCTTCGTATGTTGTGCTCATATACCACAAAACAATTAAATTCTCTTTTGCCGAGCGACCAACATTTTTGTTGACCTTGAACTAGAATCCCGCCTTTTTTTGTCTATCACCTGATAAAGAAGTAGTAAAGTAGCTGACTGATCGCTATTGTGGGCTGAATGTTCTTTCGTTGTTCTGTGGTCTACTCACGGAGGCTCTGAGACGATTCCCTTCATTATTTCTATTCCTTATCCTATCCGTGGTCTACCTCTTTGTGTGTGAGTCTCTATTATCGACCCAATAGAGTGAAGTGCGTCTTCCTGTACCCTCTCCCTTCCTATAACTTGTTGATAATTAACAATGAACCAAGTTTACGCTACATGTTCCAAATTAATTGGCACTTCTCAAGTGCATATCTTATGCTCCAAGTGCCTGAAAAGTCATCACGCTAATTGTGTTAACTTGACCACTAAAGAGAACGGCTATTTCACCGAAAGCGGTGAGAACAACTGGGTTTGTGCAGCATGCTGTACACATGGTAGAGCTACTCGTAGCAACTCGTCGTCCTCATCAACTAGTGCTGGACCAGCGGTCTCCCCTCATCGGTCTGACGAAGCGACTGCCTCCGATCCTCTAGCACTCATTTTGTGTCAATTGTCGACCATGGCCAATGACATTAGAGACACAAAAACTCACAAACACAACTAAGCAACGATGTCTCCCATTGAATGTCATTGCTACAACAGCATTCGGCTTATATTGTTCGCCATGACGAACTGATCTCTAATTGTGAGGCTAGTATTCAGCAACTCCAAAGTGCGCAAGCATCTATCTTATCCAACATTTCGAACGTTGAATCTAGACTGACCAATGCATTGATAAATTATAGATCGTTGAATACCAACGCTAACAACATCCCATCAGGTAGACACTTCAAAACTGTGAAGCTATTAAATTACAGTGCTCTCAATCGAGCATTGTCTGAAATAAACTGGTCCAACCTGCTTGCACAACGTAGCACTGAAGATATGTGGGATATATTCTCTCGTCGAATCCAACTGGAAGTAACTAAGCATACGACCACAAAGAAGATATTCAGTCACCCAAGAAAGCCTTGGATTAACCATAACCTCTCAAGGATGTTGAGGCATAAAAAAGCGTTATGGCAAAGATTCCAGAAGTAGACTACAACAGGATTTCTCTAACATCCTTTCCAAGAAATTGGAAAAAGCCAAGCGCAATGATGAGCAAAATATTGTATCATCGAAAGATAAGAAGAAGCTGTTTAGATACTTGAGATCCACCCTGAACTCTAAGGTTTCTTCCCCACAAATCCGTGATCCCAATGGTCACCTACATACTGATGCCGAAAAATCTGCCAATCTTCTTGCCGATGCTTTAAGTGAAGATTTTGTGAATGAACCTGATGGTGATGGTACTCTTCCGAACTCGTCCAGCCCTCATAGATGCCTAGCGACCAACTGTAACATAGATTTTCAACCTCAGGACATTGAGAGGCACCTTACTAAACTGATAACTTGTTCGTCCCCTGGAAAGGATGGGATTACTTCTGCCGTTATGAAGTACTGTGCTTCAGCTCTCGTATACCCCTGTGCATTATATTCAACTCCTCGTTTCAAAATCACATCCTTCCTTCCTGTTGGCGTACTGCATCTGTGACACCTATATACAAAAAAGGAGATAAAACATCTGCGAAAAACTACCGTTCTATCAGTCTTGTGCCTATAGCTGCGAAAATAGCAGAAAAGATCGTCCAAGAACAACTTATGACATTTGCGTTCAAGAACAACCTGCTGTCTAGCAACAAACATGGTTTAATTCCTGGTAGATCAATTATGGCCAATGTGTTACACTGCATCGACAATTGGACCAGATCTTTAGACGCAAATGAACCGGTCGACGTGGTTTATCTGGATTTTTCCAGAGCTTTCGATCGAGTTCCGCATAAAAGGCTCCTGCACAAGCTTGAACATCTCGGAATCAGGGGAAATTTGTTGCTATGGATTGAAGCTTTTTTGTTAAGATAGATCTTCCTCCGTGCGTGTTGGAAACGCCTATTCTTCTAGCCATGCTGTTACTAGTGGAGGTCCACAAGGATCTGTGCTAGGGCCAATACTTTTTCTTCTTTATACAAGTGACCTTCCCACCCGACTTTCTTCTATATGTTCCATCTATGCAGATGATACTAAAGTCTATAACACTGCCATGAACTCATCTGTGCTTCAAGAAGACCTCAAGCTGATCAGAAAGTGGTCAGAAGCTTGGCTCCTGCCTTTAAATCTCTCGAAATGCTACGTTCTCCACCTGGGAAAGAATAATCCTAACTTAACATATAAGATTGGCAAACATACCTTAGAGAATGTTTTTCTTCACACAGATCTTGGTCTACAGTTAATGACCGGCTCACCTGGTCGGAGCACATTCAGAACATAACCTCTAAGGCAAAGCGGTTGCTATATATGATGGAAAGATCATTTAGCGGTTGCACCGTTAGTACCTCCTACTTCTTGTACACAACTTTTGTACGACCCCTACTGGAGTTTGCTGCTCCGGTATGGGATTCAAACCTTGTTCGCGATAGCAGCTTATTAGAGGCCGTTCAGCGTAGTGCTACACGTATGCCTTATGGTACACGTAGGCCGAGTTATGAAGACCGCGTCGAGTTATATAACCTGCCTGCTTTTGCTGATAGAAGAATGTGTAATTTGTTTGGTGTGGACATGTCGCATCTGTTTCGTCTGGCAACGAACAATCTCAGAGGCCATAACTTCAAATTGCAGAAGGAAGCTTTTAGAACCTCTACTCGTCAGCGCTTTATCTCAAACCGTGTCTTCGATGCATGGAACAGTCTTCCATGTTATGTAGTAAACTCGGCATCCGTCAACAGTTTCAAAAACAATTATGATAGACACCGCAGTGCTTAACATATTGTTCCCATTCTGTATATGTCTACTTTAGAAGTGCTAAGATTGTCAAATTCTTATATTTCTTTTGTCTGTACACTATTATCTATTATGTGTTTGAGTTTATAGCACTTGTACTCAACTCAAATTTGTTGTTTAATAATAATAATATGAAGTGTCGTTGGATTCGTCTTAGCGGTACGAGTGATACAA